AATAAAACTATCTCTTTCTTCCTATCTGATTTTCTTAAATTCAAAATGGGGAGTAAGGGCGAAAAAGGGCTTGTTCTTCTATTTGACACATTCTCTATTTTTTGCCGCTTCTTCTTGGTTTTAAGTTTTTTCACTTTTATCCTTGGGTACAATGGACTGAACTGACTAAGCGCTCAGATTTTATGCTGTTTTTGCAAAAAAATTATTTGAGTGACATTATTGCACTATATTGATATTATATATTATCCAATTTGCTTAAATTTTTGTGGAGATATGTAATATAAATATATAATATAATTATTATGCACATATAATAAAATATATAACTGCATTGGGTTTTTCTACATAAGTTTATGCTTATCTGAGTCATCACTTATATGCAAAATTAAAGTCTATATATATTGAATTTCATTTATAGTTATCATATACTTAATCTCAAAACATTTGTTTTATAAATAAAAAAAAAAAATGTTTTAAGATTGTTTTCATTTTATGACAGCTGGAAATGTAACTAATAGAATTAGGCTGCCGATTAAGTTAAATATTCAAGCCCCTTCTGAAAAAAATATCTCTGCCAAACCATATTCATCTTCTGAGCTATTCACACGCAAAAGTGTATCTAGATTTTGGACAACTATGAAGATCAAGTCGGCATATATATTGCACTGTTCTAGGTTTTATAGCACAATTAGCAGTTCAAGAGAAGCATACGAAGCAGTAAATTCTTTCAGTGTTTAAATTATCCAAAATAATTAAATAAAACTCAAAATAATTATACATCAATTGAATGTTATTGTTTATTTATATTACTATTATTGCAGTTGGAGTGTTGTCTTTAAAGTAGGTTCCAACGAGTGCGAACAATTATGCCAACAATGAATCCAATCCTTCATAAATATTTCATAGGCTTAGTGAGGGTCTTAAATGCACTCAGTGATTTTTGTTTTTTGTTGTCAATCAAGTCAAAACGATTTCTTGGAAAAAGTAATTTTATTTTTGGGAGCAGAATCAACCCATAAATTGCCACGTTAAATGAGAAAGGTAGGTGAGCGTTCTCATTCCTTAAAATTTTTGCCCAAAAATTCTTGTTACACACGGTATTTTTAACACGGGTTCTTTTAAATATAGTTTTGAATACATTGTTTCTAAATAAAATATAGGTTCTGAATAGTTTTTATATAGAATATATGTATTAGATATACTATGTATGTAAGTTCCATTTTCACACATTCATATTTTTACTAAAGTTAAAACATTTATCTTTTAAATACACATTTCGGATTTCAAATTACAGATTCCTAACACTTCTTATGGTAGATTCATAAAAATATATTGGTATAAAGAACCATATAGCGACTAGACACATATTAACTGTAAATATTATAAAAATGCCATCATAATGCGATTGAATATGGGAAATGAAAATCTCTGAGCAAACGAAGATATGTTCCATTTTTTTACTTTCCTTATATCAGTTAGAAAACAACAAATACATGAACAACAACAACAAATCAATCCAAATGAAAACCGAGTAAGTCGAAAACTGAAAGCTGGATTAGCCTTGGATCAACTTGACTGACAGATAAACACAATCACGGATAATTAGTTAAATCGATAAACAACCAAGGATATGATTCTAAATACAGAGAATGAAAAGAATAGATCAATTGAACTGATTGCGGCTCTCAAATATATATATATTTTATCAAATATTTGGAATCTTAAATATTCCTTGCTTGCGTTGCTAGCATCTTGATGAACTTAGTATAACGTTTCTACACTATTCTGGTGAACTGTTGGAAAAATTTTGTGTAGAATCTTCAATGAAGATTTAAAAATCCTGCCCAAATGCGAATAGAAAACCTATGACATTGGCGATTGT